AAGAAACAAGGAAAGAAGGTCGTCGAAGTAAAAGATGGTATTGGTGCATCTTTCCAAGTAAAAGTGTGCAACCAATTTTATCTTCACTTTCTAATATCAAATGACCTCACACCCCATGTTCTGGTGCATAGCCTTGAACAACGCTCAAAAAGACAACCTCGGTACAAGAGCAATAAAATGTGTCTTTTTAGAATATTCTTCTACCATAATGATTGTAGGAAGTCTTACATCTCAATTGATGTGACATTCACCGAGTGTAAACTGTTCTTCTCTAAAGCCTCCCTTTGGACACACTAAATAACCTTGCCTCTCTTAATATAAGGTTAGTAGCTAAGGGATCTATTCAAACTTGACGACATAGTTACTTAGAGACATTTGCCTTAGTAACAAAGATGAACACTACAAGAATATTGCTATCTTTAGTTTCCAACTTAAATTGACAGCTCTTACATATGTAAGAATGTGTTCTTTCGCGGTGATCTAGATGAGGAAAGCTACGAGAGAATTCATTTAGGATTTGTAAATTATGGAGTCTGCTGCTTATTTATAACTTAATCAACGGTTATACTTAATAAAACTATATTTTATAAATGACATATAAAGTAAATTATCATAAATAGTAAATAGCAATATATACAGTTATATCTGGTAAAGCGATATATAGTAAGCTAAACCATATATATATATATATATATAGGTAAAGCTATACTATCTGGTAAAGCGATATATAGTAAGCTAAACCATATATATATATCCCTCAGACAGAGCTTTAAAAATGTACTTTATGTATTCTCTGTATTCTCTCTTTGTAACGACCCATATCCACCACTAACCGATATTGTCCTCTTTGGGCTTTCCCATTCGGGCTTCCCTCAAGGCTTTAAAACGTATCTGCTAGCGGAAGATTTCCACACCCTTATAAAGGGTGGTTTGTTTTCCTTCCCAACCAATGTGGGACATCACAATCCAGCTCCCCTTCGGGGCCCAGCGTCCTCACTAGCACTCGATTGGAGGAAGGAGAACAAATCACCCTCTATAAGGGTGTGGAAACCTTCTCCTAGCAGACGCATTTTAAAGTCTTGAGGGGAAGCCTGGATGGAAAAACTCAAAGAGGACAATATCTGTTAGGGGTGGGCTTGGAGTGTTATACTCTTACTCTACATGGCTGAAGTCATCAATATAAACCTTTAGCCAATATTCTCCTTGCATTTTCTCTATCCTGTTCTTTGTGTTCATCTAGATCAAGTGTGTACATTGTTGTACGATCCTAACCACTCAAAAGGTAAAGTGTGTAGTCTAAGTCCTGTATGAATTAAAACAATCACCAAGTGTGTGGTTTGGAAGATTCACGAAGGTAATGAAAGACTGTGAGTATATGTAGAGTTAAGGAGATTACTCTATTTATCAAGCACTCAAAATCAAGAAGAGTTACAATACTTCTAGTGTATGTAGATGACATCATAGGTACGGGAGATAATAAAGAAGAAAGGATTGAACTTAGAAGGAAATTAATGAGAGAATTTGAGATCAAATAACCTGGAAGGCTAAAGTACTTTCTCAACGATGAAGAAGCATACTCAACTTAGGACATTTTCCTATCACAATAGAAATAAGTAACAAATTTATGAATCCCAAAAGAACTTACAATCAACATTCGACATGACATAGCATACTCCGTAAGTGTAATTAGTCAATTTATGCATTACCGGCGAGAGCCTCATCTTCAGACAACATATAGAGTATTACATTACTTGCAAGAGACTTCAGGAAAAGGAGCCTTATTTAAACAAAAACAATCCCCTTGCATCCCCTTCTATTGGAAGCTTACACGGACTTTGATGACTTGTAGATTAAGGGACAAACTCAATGTTTCATGAGTTAGTATACAGTATTGAAGGTGGAAGGTATAATACCTAATCAAATGTTGAAAGTTAGCTCCCCATTGTGTTTAAATTGCCTTGCAGTGAATTTCTGATGGGAATACATTTGAATATCCACAGTCTTAAAGATCACGTATTTGTTTAGATTGCTGTCAGTTAGTATCTAATTAAATCTCCGTTAGGAATTAGATTTACTTTTGATTTGATTAGACTAGATTTATTTACTGGTTTGTGACCAGATTTTCTGCAGATTTTTAGGTAGATTTTTAAAATATCTTTTTGTATTCTCTGTGTATATATATAGAGCATTCTTGCTCTTCATAATTCAATCATCTCATCAATCATTCAATCAATCTCTCTTTCACTAACAATTGGTATTAGAGCTATCTTCTTAAGGGATCTGTGAGATCAAAATGGGAGAATCAAGTTTTTCAGCTGTTGCACCACCAGTCTTCGATGGAGACAATTATCAAATGTGGGCAGTTCGTATGAAGACTTATTTGGAAGCCTTGAATCTTTGGGAAGTAATAGAAGAGGATTACGAGGTCCCTCCACTTCCAGCAAATCCTACTGTAGCACAAATCAAATTACAGAAGGAAAAGAAAACAAGGAAATCAAAGGCGTAAGCTTGCCTATTTGCCGCTGTATCTCAAATGATCTTCATGCGAATAATGTCCCTCAAAACAGCAAAGAAAATCTGGGATTATCTCAAGGTTGAATATGAAGGAGATGAGAGGATTCGTGGAATGAAAGCCCTGAATTTGATTAGGGATTTCGAGTTACAGAAGATGAAGGAGTCAGAGTCGGTGAAAGAGTACTCTGACAGACTTCTCAGTATCGCCAACAAGGTGAGATTACTTGGTTTTGTATTAAATGATTCCAGGATCGTTGAAAAGCTACTAGTCACTGTTCCAGAGAAGTTTGAAGCCACCATTACTACTCTGGAGAACACCAAAGACTTGTCAAAGATTTCTCTTACAGAGCTCTTGAATGTTTTACAAGCACAAGAGCAAAGGAGGTCTATGAGGCAAGAAGGGGTGATTGAAGGTCTCTTACTTGTTAAGCATCAAGACAGCCACAAGTATAAAAACAACAAAAATTTCAAAAATCAATTGATGTATGGAGATTCATCTGCCAATTATCAGAAGACAAAAGGAGAAGGGTTCAAAAAATCCTATCCACCTTGCCGCCATTGTGAGAAAAAAGGTCATCCACCATACAAGTGTTGGAGAAGACCTGACGCCTTCTGCTCTAAATGCAATCAACTTGGACATGAAGCTGTGATCTGCAAAGCCAAATATCAGGTGAAAGAAGTAGATGCACAAGTAGTTGATCAAGAAGAAGAAGAAGATCAATTGTGTATGGTCACTTCTTCCTCAAGCAAAGAATCAAACGAGAGGTGGTTGATTGATAGTGTGTGCACAAATCACATGACATATGACAAGGAGTTTTTTGAGGAATTAAGAGACACTGAAGTCAAGAGAGTGAGGATTGGCAATGGTGAACACTTGGAAGTCAAGGGAAAAAGCACAGTAGCTATAACAAGCTATGAAGGTACAAAATTTATTCCAGATGTTTTATTGTACCTAAAATTTATCAAAATCTGTTAAGCGTTGGTCAATTACTTGATAAAGGCTATAAAGTGTTGTTTGAGAATAAGCAGTGCTTGATCAAAAATGCTAGTGGCAAAGACTTGTTCAATGTCAAAATGGAAGGAAAAAGCTTTGCTCTAAATCCGACGGCCTTTATATCCAGAGCTAGTGCCATTAGGACTTGGCACAAAAGACTTGGGCACTTTCATCATCGAGGTTTGCTTCAGATGCAGTCAAAGAAGCAGGTAGAAGAACTCACTGACATTGATGATGACATGCCTCCTTACCGTGCTTGTAATTTTGGGAAGCAACATAGGCAACCCTTTCCTAAACAGGCATGGAGAGGCTCGAAAAAGCTGCAACTGGTTCATACTGATCTTTGTGGTCCTCAACGAACACCATCATTAAATGGTAATCTTTATTACATTACTTTTATTAATGATCTAACAAGAATGTGTTGAATATTCTTGCTGAAGCAAAAGTCAGAAGTTGCGAGTGTATTTTGGAAATTCAAAGCCAGAGTTGAGAATGAAGGTGCATGCTTGATTTAGACGGTAAGATCAGATAATGGCAAAGAGTACACTTCAGAAACTTTTAACAGGTTTTGCGAAGAGGCTGGAATTGAACATCAATTGACAACACCATACACTCCTCAACAGAATGGTGTTAGTGAAAGGAGGAATAGATTCATAATGGAGATGACGAGATGCATGCTTCATGAGAAGGATCTTCCAAAACGTTTTTTGGGAAAAGCAGCAAGCACTGTTGTGTGCTTGCAAAATCGAATTTCAAGAAAAGCTGTGAAGGATCTGACACCATTTGAAGTTTGGTATGGTTACAAACATTCTTTAAAGTTCGTTAGAGTATTGGGGTGTCTTTGCTTCACTTACATTCTACAGGTCAAGTGTGACAAGCTTGACAAAAAGGCAAAAGCTGGCATTTTTGTTGGGTATAGCATTATATCAAAATCTTACAGAGTTTTTCAACCACACATTAGTTGTGTTATTGTGAGCCGAGATGTTCATTTGGTTGGAAATGAGCAATGGAATTGGGAAGAACTGACGAAGGTGAATCAGATTTCTAATACACCAAACAATTTAAAGATGAACGGCACCTGTCCGAGGAGGAGCTTTCAGTGATCGAGAAAAACAAAATCTGGGAGTTGGTTGATCGACCTCTAAACAAAAAGATAATTGGAGCAGGATGGATGTTCAAAAATAAAAAGCTTAGTTCACAGCTTCTAAACAAGGAGGAGTGTTAAAGATCACGTATTTGTTTAGATAGCTGTTAGTTAGTATTTAATTAAATCAATGTTAGGAGTTAGATTTACTTTTGATTTGATTAGATTTATTTACTGGTTTGTTATCAGATTTTCCGAAGATTTTTAGGTAGATTTTCTAAATATATTTTTGTATTCTCCGTATATATATAGAACATTCTTGCTCTTCATAATTCAATCATCTCATCAATCATTCAATCAATCCCACTCCCAGTGGAAGTTTTCCACTGACAAACAGGGTCCAATTTGTATCCCCGGGTTCACACTGCAAGCATAATGATATCAGATAAATCACAGTTGCCTCAATTGAAAAGTAACAATGATGAATAGAAGAACAAATCAAGATGAACAAAAACTTGATCCATATTACCAACTCTAACTAAATCAATCACCAGTAATCTCCACAAGAACAAATGCCATTGGTGAAATGATGAAATCTGCTTATGTCTCTTACTATAATCTCTCGCCCAAAAACTTCTGATGCAAACTTCATTACGGTATGACAGTCTCCACAAGTTCTTAAGTTCTTTTTTATCCTAATTGGAGCCCCGGCGGGAAGGCTGAGCAGCCCAAGTGCAAGAGCTAGTTTCTCGCTATGGTACCACAAACTCTGCTCCTTGTATGCTTCTGCCATGTTTATTGCAAATTCAGTTTCAGCCACATACCCTTTCTTCTTTACCAACTCCTTCACCTTCTCCAACATCTCGTAAATCTCCTGCGTTTTCTCATGCGACTTATCATGCACTGTGAACACATATGTTGAATTCTTTATGTCAATCCAGCTGCATCCTGGTTCCTTCCTAACTCCAATGGCTTCCATCTTTCTTCTAACCTCGTCGGCCTCGCGTAACATCCCATTACGTGTCAAGATGTTACAAAGCAGCACATAATTTCCAGGATTATCTGGTTCCAATTCAAAAAGTTCCTGAGCCACTTCCTTACCCATTTCAAGGTTGCTATGATTCCTGCAAGCACTAAGCAGAGCCCCCCATACAGAGGCGTCTGGTTTGGTAGGCATCAGTTCTATAAACCTCTTAGCTCTATCCAACTGCCCAGCACGACCAAGCAAGTCGACTATACACGCATAATGCTCATAGCCAGGGTAAATACCATGCACTTTAGTCATTGAATTAAAGTAGAAGAACCCTTCTTCAACCCGACCGGTGTGGCTGCAAGCAGAGAGAACAGAAACGAAAGTAATATAGTCAGGTTTAATCCCCTCTCTCAACATTTGCTCGAATAACTCAACAACCTGGTTAGCATGACCGTGTTGTTGACAAGCTGCAATTATGGCTGTCCAACAAACCACATTACGGTCCACAGTCTCTTCAAATATCTGAAAAGCATCTACCAAGCTGCCGCACTTTGCATACATCGTAACCAAAGAGCTTGCAACACACAAATTCTTCACGAATCCAGATTTTATGATCTGATTATGGATGAGTGCTCCCTGATATAATGCTGCAAGATTTGCACAAGAATGAAGAACAGAGGAGTATGACGCTTCATCAGGTATTAAACCTTCCCTCCTCATCATCCAAAAATTATTGCAGGCATCTTCATAATTGTTATTATAAACGCATGCCATGATCATAATGTTCCAAGTAACAACATCTCTAGCTCCAATGTTTGAAAACAACTTCACAACATCGTCAAACAAGCCACACTTACTATACATGTCAATCAGCGAGTTATTTACATAAACCAAATTCCTGACACCAAGCTTGAGAGCAACTCCATGAACTTGTTTCCCAAACTCCCAGTTACCAACATTGGCACAAGCACTCAAAGCACTAGAAAAGCTTACCTCATCAACAGCAGTTAGACTCTCGAGTAGAAGCGTCTTAAAGAAGAGAATGGCCCGATCATATAGCTTGTTCTGCAAGAATCCCACAATCATAGAGTTCCAAGACACTAGGTTTCTCAGGGGCATTTCCTCGAACACCTTCTCGGCCCTGCACATATCACAACACTTGGCATACATGTCAAGTAACGCACTGGCAACAAAGACGTCAGCATGGAACCCGTGTTTCCAAATCAAAGAATGCATCTGATCCCCATGAACAGAAGCCATAGTGTCAGTGCAAGCAGATAAGACAGCAGAGAAGGTGTAGTGATTGGGATAAACCCCAGAACACCTCATATGGTTAAAGAAAGTAAGGGCGTGAAAGGGTCTTTTAGAACGGGAAAATTGGGTGATAAGAGAAGTCCAAGAGACAACGTTCTTAGAGTCATGTGGGGCTGAGGAGAAGAGCAACAAGGTGTGATCGAGAGAAGCAGATTTGGCGTACAAGTTGAGGAGGTTGTTGAAGAGGAAAGGGAGGGAAAGGAAGGCAGTGGTGATGAGATGGGCATGAATTTGAGTGGCATGTTTCAGGGTCCGCCCTGAATTGATAAGGCTGTTCAGTGAGGTTGGAAGGGGAAGTAGTTTACAACTCATAACTCGTACTCCTGCATTAATCACTACGAGTTTCAAGCAAAGATTGTTGATTGGAAGGGGAACTCACTTCGATTCTTCGACCACTTGGGTCGACAAGATTCACGAAACCCACTGCTGTTCTCGGCATAGAATCTACAGATTAGGACTACTGCTCTCCATTTTTTACTGTCATAACACACACAAATGTGAAGTTTGGGTTGAATCAAACCCATATTTATATCCAACCTACTCCAAGCTCATCAGGGTTCATCAGGGTGTATATGGTCCGGGTTAAGTCGGATTCGGAGATTTTTTTTTTACCCAACCCAAAAGTTCGGGTTGGTTGGATTGTTAACCCAATCCGACCCAAAAATTTTCACAACCCAACCCAATTCAACTTTCTATTTTATTTTCGGGTTGGGTTGGGTTCGGGTTGGGTCCTCCGATTGTTAATTTTTTTTTAAGGTTTTTTAAATTTTTTTATTTATTCACAAGATATAATCTTAGATAAAAAAAATTTTAAAGGTTCACAAATAAATTTAAATCCATTTATATTTATTAAAAAAAAATAAATTCATGGACAACAAATAAAAAAATGTAACATCTCAACCTTATTTAACAAAAATTAGAATGAAATATTGAAATGATTTATGTAAATATAAAATGAAACTAAAAATAATAAAACAAAATGTAATTTATGTAAATATAAAATGAAACTAAAAATAATAAAGTAATAAAAAAAAAACATATTATAAACGATGTATTTAAAAATAGTATAAAATGAATAAATATTTGTTAATTTATTTACTTATGTTTAAAAACAAAATGAAGTGATTTATGTAAATATAAAATGAAACTAAAAATAATAAAACAAAATGTAATTTATGTAAATATAAAATGAAACTAAAAATAATAAAGTAATAAAAAAAAAACATATTATAAACGATGTATTTAAAAATAGTATAAAATGAATAAATATTTGTTAATTTATTTACTTATGTTTAAAAACAAAATGAAGTGATTTATGTAAATATAAAATGAAACTAAAAATAATAAAACAAAATGAAATATTGAAGTAATTTATGTAAATATAAAATGAAACTAATAAAGTAACAAAAAAAACTATTTAAAAATAGCATAAAATGAATAAATAAATATTTGTTGATTTATTTACCATATGTTTAAAAATAAAATGAAATATCAAATTAATTGAAGTGATTTATGTAAATATAAAATGAATATTTTTAAAAATCCAAATCACGACTTCGACAGATCTTAACATTTTCAAGGTTATTTATAAGTTAATTGGGTTTCGGGTCTAACCCGGGTTTTTTATCCTATGAACCGAAAACCGAACCGGGATACTCCGAGTCTAGAAAAAACAACCCAACTCAATCCAAAAGACTAATCCAACCCAACCCCTATAATTCGTGCCGGGTTGGTCTGGGTCATGAGCCTGGCCCAACAGCCCAACAGCACAAATGGGCCAAACCCACTGGATTTTATATCCAGGCCATAGTTGGTCTTTCGATTCAGCTCCATAAAGCCTACCATGATCTTTAGTTCGAGTTGGAAGCGACATACAAGCACTAAAAGGAACTAAAACAATACAGAAGCTGTAGACCCAGTTGCTTCTCTCTCCACCCTGTTTGATTCTGTTTTTGTTTATGATAAATAAAAGAGAACTAAAAGGAATGGTATATCATCATCCTCATCCTCATCAATAACTCCAGGCAAGATCATGTGACAAAAGTGTGTCAGTGACAGACTGGTTTTGGCTGCTTCTTCTCTTTACTCTTCTACTGACTTGGTCGAGCTTTTCTGACTTCTTCCCGACCGCCTCATTCCTTTCCTTCATTTCTTCATCTTCTTTCAATCTCCATCCTTAACCACTCCGACAACCGCCGCTTTGTTCTTCAATCCACGATCATTATGGCTACCCAAACCCAAGCTTCTACATCCGATGAGGTATGTTTTTCCTTAATCATTAATGGATGTGAAGATCGTTTGTTCATGTTCTTAGATTCTTGATCAACACCCACTTCTTAGTTTCTTCTATTTTTAACTTTAAACACCCTTCTCTGTGATATGTTTCATACTTTGCATGTAATACAGACTGCATCAATTACTTCATTTGGGTAAGAGATCATTACCAACATCTTGATAGATTAGAACAGAGCTATGGTTGATTCAATCTGTCAATTCCTTCACCAATATCTTATGGATTCATTGTACTGTTGTAGCAAACCAAGAAGTTTAGTGAAGCAGTAAAAGTAACGGAACAAATAGAAGAGACAGGAAAAGGTGAAAACTTGGCCACATCCGAAGCAAGGGCAGTGGATGAGCCTCCTGTTTCTGAGAGACCATCGAACGAACCCATTGTAGGAGAAGCAACAGAGCTGCCAGTCATTGCGTTCCTGGAAAAGGGTACAAAGGAGGAGTTTGATGCAGCTGACAATAAAGGAGAAGTCATACAAAAAGAGAGTCTGGAGGTTCTACAAAATGTAGAAGAACAAGCATCAGAGATTGTGGGCCTTGTTCCAAAAGCACAAGAGGAATCATCAGTAACGGCAGAGTGTGGCAAGGCTCCAGCAGATACAGAGGAGGAAGACAAAGAGGCAGACAAGGAAGCACAAAACAAAGAAGCTGAAGCGATTGAGGTTGTTCCAATGGAAGAAATGATTGGAACAGCTGAAGCTCCAACACCAAAGGAGCAGGCAGTTGACAAAGAATTGGAAGAAGTGATAGCAAAAGAAATTAGCATACCCACAGAAGTGATAGAGCCAAGTACAGAGTTTGTAAGTGCAGAGAAAGAGGCAAGTTGTGTTGTAGCAGAATCTGCTGAAACTCCACTCAAAGTCATAGCAGAAGACACTACTGAATCCATTACAGCTTCCAAGAACAAAGAGCAGCAAAATGAAGAACATCCTGTGGTAGCAGGCAAGTCATTAGTTGACCTGATAGCAGAAACCAAGATAGAAGAACCCCAAGTAGCAGGGCTTGAAGGTGCCAATGTATCTGAGGTGGAAGTAAAAGATGAACAAGTTGCGAGCACAAAGGGAGAAGTGCCATCAAACCCCACTCAGAAGCACTCGCACAATCTCTTATCCAAACTAAAACACTCATTGGTGAAGGCAAGGAAAGCCATCATTGGGAAGTCACCCACCTCAAAAACTCTTTCCTCCCAACCAAGGGATGATATTAAAGTCAAGTGATGGTCTGCACTTAATAGCCAGATTCAGAGTTAAGTACTTATCAGAATATATGTTGTGAGGATTGGTTTTTTTGCATAGTTTCTTATAGTTGCAATGTAAAATTTGATATTATACCGTCATGTGTACATCGACTTCAAATTTGTGGATTTTGTGTGTGAAGTGATAAGGTATTACTTAGCGTGTTGTCTGTGGCTACATGTTGGATGTTTCAGTCATGTTTGTTCTCGGTTGGTACGAGGCCTTTTAGGGAAGCCCAAAGCAAAGTTATGAAAGCTTATGCTCAAAGTGGACAATATCATATCATTGTGGAGGGTCGTGTTTGTCTAACATGGTATCAGAGTCATGCCCTAAACTTAGTCATGCCAATAGATTGGTAAATCCTCAAATATTGAACAAATGACTCCAAAAGAAAAGGAGTCAAACCTCCTCGAGGGTAGTAAAAAATGACTAAGGCTCCAAAGGAGTCAAGCCTCGATTAAGGGGAGGCGCACTTTGTTCGAGGAGAGGTGTTGGATGATGAAAGTCCCACATCGGCTAATTTAGGGAATAATCATGAGTTTATAATCAAGGAACACTCTCACTCTCTCCGTTGGTATGAGGTATTTTGGAGAAGCCCAAAGCAAAGCCATGAGAGCTTATGCTCAAAGCGGACAATATCATATCATTGCAGAGGGTCGTGTTCATCTAACAGCAATCACTCCCTAACCATAAACTTGTTTGGATGAGGACGAGGGGCTACATAGGTTAGACATTGTTGACTTGATTGAGGGTCATAACCCCTTCATGCTACTTATGTTATGGGGCCTACTAAGAGGATATCAACGGAACTCTTTTAGAGAATTTGATAACAGTATCCATAACGGTATGATGAGAAGTATAGGTTGGAATACGGACGTTAAGGTCGCACCTCAAGAACCTACTAGCATTAGGTCCATGTGAATCATGATAATGATCGACAAGGTTCACAATGATCGACAAGGAACTCTTAAAAGGACTGCCTTTCTAGCCCTTAATCTCAAATTAACTAGTTTAATTATATTTTATTTTTTTATTTTATAACGAACCTATTTTTAATTAAAATTTTAGTGTGGTAATTTCGAATTTCAAATTGGTAACTCAAAATTTCACTCCTCATATTTAAATTCATTATCTTCTTCGTAATCAACCCACAATTTTTTTACATTTTTTGTATCCTCTATTTTTCTGAAGTCTTCCTTACCGATCTCTCCAAGCTTCCAATTTTTATTTTTCTTCATATTCTCGAGAGAGGATTCTATTGTATTGTGAGTATTCAAATTATAAATCTACAATAGTTGTGGTATATTCTTCAAAAATCCAAAATTTGTAACAGTTCAATCCTAAGCCATGGAAATGATTGAATTTATTCTAATACTCTAAAAAAAGCGGTGTAACATTTTTGCTCTGATCCGTGGAAAGAGTAAGAAAAGTTTTTATTCAAATTCACAAGAGGTGTTTGAGAGTAGAGTAGATCGAGTTTGACCGAACTACTATAATCCTAAGTTCAATTGAGGAGAATCTTCTTGGAATATGGAGCTTATTTATAGCTTATTCAACTGTTATGCATAGTGCAACTATATTTGGTATGATATATTACACAGTAAAGCTATATTTGGTAAAACATATAAATTGTCATAAATAATAAATAGTTATATATATATCTATAGTAAAAAGTTATATCTTTAAAGCTATATATATATGGTAGATAATAATATGTGGTAGATATTTATATTTATATTTATATTTATATATATAGTAAGCTACAACTATATATATAATATACCCATCCTGCAGAGAGATTTGAAAATGTAGTTTGTGTATTTTGTTTATGTGCATATCTATAGTCATCAATATAAACCTTTTAGCTAGAGTTCTCCTTGCATTTTCTTTATTTTGTTTTTTGTGTTCATCTCGATCGAGTGTGTGCGATTCTAACAAATCTAAGTATACCTAGTATATAGCCTGGCCTACAATTTAGAAACGAACTCTTAAGTTTGAATAAGACACCGTATGAACTTATGACATAAAACTTAAAGAACTATAAGAAAGCTACTTCCAGAGTATTTTTATAATCATTCATACTACTTTCAATCTTTTTAAGATGAAAGTTAGATGGAATGTTCGAGGCAAGAGCATGCACAAGTTACAGGGCTATACAAGTCGACTAGATTGATGTCTTGTGTTTTTTATGCTCTTTATGAACTCCATCTTTATGTATTTTGAAAGTTGTGTTGGTTGTGTTAGTCAGATTCTGTAATACCCGAAGAAAGAGAAATAGAGATAGAAAAAAAAAAGGAAAAGTCGAGAGAGGGGCAAATAGGTAAGTTTGCCCCTCCAATCACTAAACGGGTCCAAAGGAAACCCTATCAAGAGTCCTGCAAAAGAAAAATAGTGAGAGAAAGGGGCTAGAGAGAACCTAGAGAGAGAAGAGGAAGAATGAACGGCCGGAAGACTCATCGGAAACTACCATCGGAGTTTACTCCGGTTAAGATCATGATGCAAGGAGCCCTTCTTGGAAGGGAAAAGAGAATCTGGGTGGTCGGAATCCCATTTTCCATCAAGAAATCAGAAAAAACCCGCGAGGTAAGATCTTGAATGTTTTCTTAGATCTACAGTTTTTCTTTGTGAATCAAGATCTGAAATCTTGATATATTCATTTAGGAACAACTCTCTACATGATCTTTGAAGAAGTTTGGCTGAAACCTCGATCCGAAGGCTGAAACCCGAGAATCGTCCGAGAACGATGAGCGAACTTCCGACGTTCTTAACTCGTCCAGTAGTCAAGCAAAAATTACAAAAAAATATACTAGGACATAGCCCGTAACACGATCTAGAACTTTGTCGAAGAAACCATATCGATCCGATCTACGGATCAAAAGATATGAAAATCGGAAAAGGAAACTGTGTTACGGATTTCAAAGAACAGAGAAAAAAAAAAAAAGAGGTCGGGCGGAGGGCGGCGACAAGCTCGGACACGCATCAACCGTCGGCTAGAGCAACGCAGCTCCAGCGAGGCGATGACACGTGTCACCCGGAAAGCCGAGCCGAACCAAAAACGCGAGCCGAGCCGAGCCGAACCGAACCGACCGACCCACGACTGCGCAGAAGCTGCCGCGCGTGCGACCTGCGATTGGCGCATTCCCGCGCGCGTGGCCCTCACACTCCCAGCGCACTACTAGCGCGTGAGCGCGCGCGAAACGGCCGTTTTGGCCCGGTTGCCCTCTGTTTGCCCGATTTTTGTCCCGATTCCAGTTCTAATATTGTTTTTATGTGAATAGGAACCTAATTTAAGGAAATCAGTATTTTTGGACACCTCACGGGCAAAGAAACGCTAGCGAAAGGGCACGCGTCAACCAGGTAAGTCACCACCCGGTATTTAGGAAGAAATACTTGTAGGTTTCGCTTGGATTGTATGTATGCATGTTAGTAATTTTGCCTTAAATTAGCTCTCCATGAATGAGATTAGTCAGATGGATTGTTATGATACGTTGGGTGAATTATCTGAGTGTTGCTTGTATGCTTTAAGCTTCTGTTGTACGTATGCATGTGTTTAATTTATGTTGGAATTGCGTATTTCGTGTTCTGGGTGCTCGATGGATGAATTCGCCCCATTGAGCGCGAACTTTGTGTTCTGAGTGCTAGATGGAGGTCATCGCTCCGTTGAGCCAGCGTGCCTAGTTTGCATGAATTATATATTATGATATTTGTAACAAAAAAAAAAAAGGGGCTAAGTCAACTGAGGGGCAAAAATGTCATTTTGCCCCTCCAACCCAAATAGGGGTCCAAGGAAAATCCAGCCAGATTGCCTGCAAAAGAAAGAAGAGGTTAGAGAGAGGTTAGAGAGAGGTCGGCCGGGAAGATTAACGGACCACCGCCGGAATCCATCTCCAGACGAGACTCGTACCAGGATTGAGGGGCTATCAAGGCCTACGCACCATCAAAGCCTAAGAACATTTCGCGGGGTAAGGTTTCTGAACGATATTGCTCAGATCTGAGTTTTCCCCTACGTGAATCGACCCTAAAATGTTGAAATCTTCACCTAGGAACAACTCACGCACGGTCTGTGAAGAAGTTTGGCCGAGACCTCAACCCAAAGGCGGAGATCCGAGGGTCATCCGAGAACGGTGAGCGAAATTCCGGCGTTCTTAAATCCTCCGATAGTCAAGAAAAAAATTATAAAAAGAATACTAGGACGTAGCCTGTAACACGATCTAGAACGTTGCCGAAGGAATCATATTGATCCGATCTACGGATCGAAAGATATGAAAATCGGAAAACAAAAACCGACTGGGTTTCGGTTTCCAAAGGACAGAGAAGAAAAAAAAAACGCCCGGCGAGCGACGGAGGGCGGCGACAGGCGCCGGACACGCGTCGACCACCGGCTGGAGCAACGCAGCTCCAGCGAGGCGTCGACACATGTCGCCTGCAAGCCGGGCCGAATCGCAACGCGAGCCGAGCCGACCGGACCGAGCCGAGCCGACTGGACCGGGCCGGGCCGGGCGACCCGCGACTAATTGGGTGCGCGTGGCAGGCGCGCGTGCAGCCTGCGGCTGGCACCTTCCCGCGCGCGTGGCCACGCACTTCCAGCGTGCTGCTGGGCGCGTGAGCGCGCGTGGAACGGCCAGTTTGGCCCGGTTGTTTTCTGTTTTCTCGATTTTTGCCCCGGCTTCAGTTCTAATACTGTTTTTACGTGGATAGGGACTTAATTTAGAGAAATCAGTAGAGTTGGACACCTCACGGGCAAAGAAACGCTAGCGAAAGGGCACGCGTCAACCAGGTAAGTCACCACCCGGTATTTAGGAAGAAATACTTGTAGGAATCGCTCAGATTGCATGCATGCTAGTAACTCTGCTTCAGATTAGCTCTTCATGTAAGTTACTAGTCAGTTTATCTGTTGTGTTTGAATTGTGTAAATTACATGAGTGTCGCTTGTATGCCTTAGGCTTCCGCCGTATGTATGCATGCGTTATTTGATGTGTGGAATTGAGTAGGCCGGGTTCGGGTGTTTGATGGACGAATTCGCCCCATTGAGCGCGAACTTCGTGCTCTGGGTGCTTGATGGAGGTCATCGCCCCGTTGAGCCGGTATGCCTAGCTTGCATGAATCACATACTATGATGTTAGAAGAAGATTACATGCACCCTCTGTTAATTGCTAGGGCCCATTTCTTTGATAAGATTAGGGAATCTTGGATAGGAGCGATATGTCGCTCTAGACAGACTTAATTTTCCCCTAGAAACTTAGCGGTTTACCACGGTAAGAAAGTACCTAAGGGGGTTCATAGATTGCTAGCGTGAGAACGGTATCTATAGCTTCGTGGGAGGACCAAGGGTCCCTGATCAGTCCTTACTGTTCTTAGCCATTTCGCATGGGAAATGTGTCCCCACGTCGTACAGCCCATTAGCTGCATGGGAACGGGTTGGGTCGCGCCCCCCATAGGAGGACTATATGGGCGTAGAGGTATTCAGCACACCCCTAGGCTAGGTACCATGTAGTTCTAGATAGCCATGTAGAGGTAGCGCCTCATAGAGAGATACCGACCATATTAGCTTAGCATAAGGAACCTCTAGGTGACTAATGAAAGGACGATGAACCGGTGAAACCCAAGGGGCAAGCCCCAAGAGACTAAGGTTAGAACCCGATGTCCTAGAACCGAATTAGGAAACCGTGGGAGTTCTGCTAAATTAAGATGCGAAAAGAGCCTACAAGTAGGTGGCTTACTGAGTATAATTTTTATACTCATCCTTGCTATGTTTTCTTTTTTTTTCAGGGGCGCGAGGCGTCGGTCAAGAGTGGGCGTGATCTGAAGGGAATTGTCACAGAGGAATGGGTTGTCCCGGGGCGTCAGTCCAGTCTTAGTCATCATTTTTGTATTCGCATTCTTTTTAAATTTATTTTCCAAACGGTCTTGTGTTCTGTGTTTATCGTTCGAAAAACTTTATTGAAATTTGATGATTTTCGCTACTTCATATTTAAATCTCTTGTGCATCTGTGTCGTGTCGTTAGTCACTGTCCGTAGTAAAATATTGGGCTGTGACAAATTTGGTATCAGAGCCGTCAGGTTATAGGTCCTGTAGACATTTAGGGTAGAGAGTCGTGTCCTCTGTGACTTCGCTCGTCAATCACATGCCGCTCACGACCAGACGTTCTCACGCGACGGAAACATAGAGACAAAGATTAAGTTAGTATTTATAGAGCATACCATGACTGACTAGGGCATTATATCGCACATTACCTAGGAGATGTGTTGTGGATGAATTGTGACCATAGTTCTTTGTTATCGTGGTAGATAATGGCACCAAAGAGACGCGAACCGTATGTAGGGCCAGGACCTAGAAGGGGAAGAAGAGAGGAAGTTCAGGACACCTCGGTTCCAATACCTGAAGAGGAACAACCTGAACCTCAGGAGGAGGTTGGGGATATGCCCCAAACTAGCGAGGGGACAGTACCACAGCCATCAAGATCAAAAAGACGCCGAATGAAGGCCAAGGCCCGAAGGCTGCTCGAGACACCCCCTACTACTCCCTTCTCCGAGGAGGCCCCATCAGATCCAACCCCGTGTACAGCAGTCCCACTAAACCAGCCATTAGCCATGCCCTCAGCGGAGATGTTTCAGACGTTCATGATGACGTCGATGGAAAATCAGGCTCTGACGAACCAGATGATTCAGACCATGATGTCTAATCAGTCAACAGGGCAAGGGGGCAAGGATTCAGGGACTATGACTGTGGAGTCCCGCTACTTGAGAGATTTCCAAAGGCATAAACCGCCTTCCTTTGACGGAGGCAAGATGGATCCTATTGCCGCTGAGAATTGGCTAGAGGCCATAGAAACGGCCTTCCATTTTATGAACTGCCCACCAAAGTATGAAGTCCATTGTGGGACATATATGCTGAAAGGAGAAGCGCACTTCTGGTGGAAAGGTGCTCAGAAAACCATAGTACCACAAGGAGAGTTTATTACATGGTGTCAGTTTAAAGACGCATACCTCCACAAATACTACCCAATCACTGCCAGAGTGAAAATGCAGGCCGCGTTCCTCGCATTGAAACAGGGAGACAGATCAGTGGGGGATTATGACTTGGAGTTCAATAGGCTGGCAAGGTTTTCTCCAGCCTATGTTAGTTCTGAGGAGTTGAAGGGCGAACGATTTATTGCTGGCCTGAGGGAAGAACTAAGGGGGAATGTGGCATCCCAGTCATCCTTTGTCTATACGAAAGCCCTTCAGGTGGCAACCCTGCTCGACTCGCCCCGTACCGACAAGCTTCAGTTGGGAATAGCATAATCATCCCACACTGCGGCCCAGGGAAAGGGGGCATACCCTAACCACCCCAGAACTGGCAGACCACCCCGTGGCCGCACTGATAGGCGAGGGAGAGCCCCGGTACGGAACATGACTTTGTGCCCTAATTGTCGGCGTCCTCACACGGGGGAATGCAGAGAAGGAACAGGCGCCTGCTACAGATGCGGTCAGGTAGGGCACTTTGCAGTGGATTGCCCTCAGAGAAACGATCAGCGTGTCAACCTGCCTGCAGTACAGCATCAGAGGGGCCAAGCCGGCCAACATCAGCAGGGGCGAGCTGTAGCCCATGCAACAACAGCCAGGCAAGCTGACCAGCCGGACGCGGTTGTCACAAGTACGCTACCCGTATTTGGTCATCTTGCATTAGTGTTGTTTGATTCGGGTTCGACGCATTCATTCGTATCTGAAGAGTTTGTAGAGCTAGCACAGCTAGAGAAAGAACTTTTAGAGATTACCCTATCAGTGTCTACCCCTGCTCATGAGCTGTTGCTAGCTACCCATAGGGTGAAGGGAGGTGGAGTAACGATAGCAGGGCGTGTCATCGAAGCTACACTGATAGTGTTAAGGATGCAAGACTTCGATGTCATCTTGGGTATGGATTGGCTAGGCGGGAATCGCGTTTTGATAGACTGCGAGACCCGAATAGTGACTCTCAGGCTCCCGTCAGGGGACATCTTTACCTACAAGGGAGCCACTTCCAAAGGTGTCCCGAGCGTCATAACCTCGCTAAGGGCTAAGAAGTTGATTCGTAGTGGCGCAATTGCATTCCTAGCCAGCGTGACCTTAGATAATAGTAACAAACAAAAAACCTCATCGGTACACATCGTCAGGGAGTTCGTAGATGTCTTTCCGGAGGATCTGCCGGGTTTGCCCCCAGCTAGGGAAGTCGATTTTGGGATCGATTTAGAACCAGGAACGGTGCCGATCTCCAAGGCACCTTACAGGATGGCACCTGCAGAACTCAGGGAATTGAAGGAACAGTTACAGGAGTTGTTGGATAAGGGTTTCATCCGACCCAGTGTATCACCCTGGGGAGCCCCTGTTCTGTTTGTCAAGAAGAAGGACGGGTCCATGCGGATGTGTATTGATTACAGGGAATTAAACAAGGTCACTATAAAGAATAAGTACCCTCTCCCGAGAATTGACGACCTGTTTGATCAGCTACAGGGAGCAACAGTTTTCTCCAAAATTGACCTAAGGTCGGGGTATCATCAGTTGAGGGTCAGGGAAGGGGATATACCCAAGACAGCCTTCAGAAGTCGTTATGGGCATTACGAGTTTCTCGTTATGTCTTTTGGCCTTACCAATGCACCAGCTGTTTTCATGGAACTAATGAACAGGGTGTTTAAGGAATTCTTAGACACCTTTGTCATAGTGTTCATCGACGACATTCTGGTATACTCTAAGTCAGAGGCAGATCATGAAATACACCTCAGAAAAGTCTTGACAATACTGAGAGCTCAGCAGTTGTATGCCAAGTTCTCTAAGTGTGAGTTTTGGTTGTCTAAAGTTGCGTTTCTGGGTCACGTGGTGTCAAGCAAGGGGATCACAGTGGACCCAGCTAAGATAGAAGCAGTGATGAGGTGGCCACAGCCGACCACAGTCACAGAGGTGAGGAGTTTTCTTGGGCTAGCTGGTTATTACAGAAGGTTTGTTCAGGATTTCTCCAAAATTTCCTCGGCGCTGACTCAGCTAACCAAGAAGGGCAAGCCCTTTGCTTGGACTCCAGTCTGCGAACAGAGTTTCCAGGAACTCAAGAAGAGGTTGGTAACTGCACCAGTCCTTACGGTTCCAGATGGGTCAGGTAATCTCGTGGTGTACAGTGATGCATCAGGGAAAGGCTTGGGGTGTGTGCTCATGCAGAAAGGTAAGGTGATAGCGTATGCTTCTCGACAATTGAAAGAATATGAACGAAACTACCCCACGCATGATCTCGAGTTAGCAGCGGTAGTATTCGCTCTAAAAACGTGGCGGCACTACCTGTATGGGGAAAAAGTACAAGTCTTCACTGATCATAAGAGCCTCAAGTACTTATTCACGCAGAAGGAGCTCAATATGAGACAGAGGCGATGGTTGGAGCTGGTAAAGGATTATGACATAGAGATTCTGTACCATCCAGGCAAAGCCAACGTGGTAGCTGATGCATTGAGCAGGAAGGCTGTGCATACTTCTGTGATGATCACCACACAGGAAAAACTACAAGATGAGATGAAGAGGGCTGGGATAGACGTGGTGATTAAAGGTGGTAATGTTCAGATAGCACAGTTAACTATACAGCCTACCCTACGAAAGAAAGTTATCGACGCTCAGAGGTCTGATGAACACCTCAGTAAAGTGTGGAGTCAGATGGAGACAGAGAGTCCAGTAGGGTATTCTATCTCCTCAGACGGGGGTCTGCTATGGCAAAACCGCCTGTGCGTTCCCCGAGACGAGGGAATCTTAAAAGATATTATGACCGAAGCCCACGATACATCTTATGTGTTCCACCCTGGAAGTACAAAGATGTATCAGGATCTGAAGAGATTTTACTGGTGGTCCGGAATGAAGAGGGACATAGCAGATTTCGTAAGCCGTTGCTTGACCTGCCAGCAGGTGAAGGCCCCGAGGCAGCGCCCAGCGGGATTGCTACAGCCCCTGAGCGTCCCTCAGTGGAAATGGGAAGCAGTCTGTATGGATTTCATTTCGGGTTTGCCAAAGACAAAGCAAGGTTTCAACGTCGTATGGGTAATTGTAGACAGACTGACTAAGACAGCCCACTTTATTCCAGGAAAGTCCACATATCGAGTAGACCGGTGGGCTCAGTTATATATCAAGGAGATAGTACGCCTGCACGGGGTACCAGTGTCCATAGTATCAGACCGGGACACCAGGTTCACCTCTCAGTTCTGAAGGAGTCTTCAGAAGGCACTAGGAACTCAGTTGAGGTTCAGTACAGCATTCCATTCTCAAACGGACGGACAGACCGAAAGGCTGAATCAGGTTTTAGAGGACATGTTGCGAGCCTGCTCCTTAGATTTCGCTGGGTGTTGGGACGAACATCTGCCTTTAATGGAGTTTGCCTACAACAATAGTTATCAAGCGACCATTCAGATGGCCCCCTTCGAGGCACTGTATGGGCGTAGGTGTCGAACACCAGTGTTTTGGGAAGAGGTAGGCACGCAGCAACTAATGGGACCAGAGTTGGTCCAGGTCACCAACGCAGCGGTGCAGAAAATCAAACAGAGGATACTCACCGCACAGAGTCGACAGAAAAGCTATGCAGATGTGCGTAGAAGGGACCTCGAATTTGAGGTGGGTGATCACGTGTCCCTGAAGGTGGCCCCTATAAGGGGGGTGTTGAGGTTCGGGAAGAAAGGGAAATTGAGCCCAAGGTTCATAGGCCCCTTCGAGATTCTGGACAGAGTCGGGGCTGTGGCTTATAGAATTGCCCTACCACCGAACCTTGCCGCCGTGCACAATGTGTTCCAGGTATCCATGCTGCGAAAGTATTCTCCCGACCCTACTCATGTAATCGAGCATGGGATGCTTCCTCTTCGAGAAGATCTGTCTTACGAGGAACAGCCTAGCAGGATTTTAGCTCGAGACACTAGGCGGTTGCGTAACAAAGATATTCCCTTGGTAAAGGTCTCATGGGGTAACCGCCGTGAGGAAGAGGCAACCTTGGAACGAGAAGAGGACGTGAGGAAAGCTTATCCCGAACTCTTCCAAGGGATAGCTACTTTCGGGGACGAAAGTTCCTAAGGAGGGGAGAATTTGTAACGCAAAAAAAAAAAAAAAAAAAAAAAAAGGGGGGGGGGGGCTAAGTCAACTAAGGGGCAAAAATGTCATTTTGCCCCTCCAACCTAAATAGGGGTCCAAGGAAAATCCAGCTAGATTGCCTGCAAAAGAAAGAAGAGGTTAGAGAGAGGTTAGAGAGAGGTCGGCCGGGAAGATTAACGGACCACCGCCGGAATCCATCTCCAGACGAGACTCGTACCAGGATTGAGGGGTTATCAAGGCCTACGCACCATCAAAGCCTAAGAACATTTCGCGGGGTAAGGTTTCTGAACGATATTGCTCAGATCTGAGTTTTCCCCTACATGAATCGACCCTAAAATGTTGAAATCTTCACCTAGGAACAACTCACGCACGGTCTGTGAAGAAGTTTGGCCGAGACCTCAACCCAAAGGCGGAGATCCGAGGGTCATCCGAGAATGGTGAGCGAACTTCCGGCGTTCTTAAATCCTCCGATAGTCAAGAAAAAAATTATAAAAAGAATACTAGGACGTAGCCTGTAACACGATCTAGAACGTTGCCGAAGGAATCATATTGATCCGATCTACGGATCGAAAGATATGAAAATCGGAAAACAAAAACCGACTGGGTTTCGGTTTCCAGAGGACAGAGAAGAAAAAAAAAAAAAAAAACGGCCGGCGAGCGACGGAGGGCGGCGACAGGCGCCGGACACGCGTCGACCACCGGCTGGAGCAACGCAGCTCCAGCGAGGCATCGACACATGTCGCCTGCAAGCCGGGCCGAATCGCAACGCGAGCCGAGCCGACCGGACCGGGCCGGGCCGGGCGACCCGCGACTGTGCAGAATTGGGCGCGCGTGCAGCCTGCGGCTGGCGCCTTCCCGCGCACGTGGCCACGCACTTCCAGCGTGCTGCTGGGCGCGTGAGCGCGCGTGGAACGGCCAGTTTGGCCCGGTTGTTTTCTGTTTTCTCGATTTTTGTCCCGGCTCCAGTTCTAATACTGTTTTTACGTGGATAGGGACTTAATTTAGAGAAATCAGTAGTGTTGGACACCTCACGGGCAAAGAAACGCTAGCGAAAGGGCACGCGTCAACCAGGTAAGTCACCACCCGGTATTTAGGAAGAAATACTTGTAGGGTTCGCTTGGAATTGTATGTATGCATGTTAGTAATTTTGCCTTAAATTAGCTCTCCATGAATGAGATTAATTAGATGGATTGTTACGATGTGTTGGGTGAATTATCTGAGTGTTGCTTGTATGCCTTAAGCTTCCGTTGTACGTATGCATGCGTTTAATTTATGTTAGAATTGTGTATGCCGGGTTTCGGGTGCTCGATGGACGAATTTGCCCCATTGAACGCGAACCTCGTGCTCTGGGTGCTTGATGGAGGTCATCGCC